AGGTAGTACCACACTGTGACCAGCAGAGGGCAGGCTGTGTGTCTTTCACTTGTCAGGCAAATGTGTAAAGCAGTTCACTAGGCATCCACATATTACTTAAAAAACAGGATGGTGAATGAAACAAACAGTCCCACACAGACTATTTCTACCAACCTGCCCTCATAGATAAGTGTAAACCCTACGACTCTTACCAGCACACTGAGCGATAATGAATGGGATTCGGGAGGCAGATGTGCTAATCTTTAATCTTAAACGTAAGCATGCAGAAAAACTGTGCCCAGGAGGCCATAACTGTAACTGGGGGAGAGTCATGAGACCATAGATGGATCCATTCTTCTTTATGAAGTAGGTGTCATCATTAGTTCCAAATGTTAATCACAAAATATCAATCATAAAAACCATAAAAATGTCATATAAATCTTCAAGATAAAGATAAGATATTTAGTGTGTGCTTTTAGCTAAGAACAGTATCATGTGAACAAAACTGGAACAAACTTGGATCATCTTGGTCTGATCAGCCCATATAACAGCGGCAACAGTCACATGTGTTTCAAGACTAAGATAAGGACACAAGGAGACAGTAGGCAGCACCTGTTTTAGTGGATAAGTGTTTGAAATTAAATATTAATTCATCTGAAAAGTTTGGCCATATTAGAAAAAAAGTATTTTTAGTTTAATTGCACTTAGTTTTTTTTAAATATTTGATTTTGGAAATGATTGTTGTAGGCTTCTGTTCACAGTGTGACCTTTCCGATAACAAAAGTCTGTAGCTCCAGCACTGTGTTAACATTTTGCTCGACTTTGTCATCCCTCTTGGAGCTTCCTCTCTCTCGGGTGTGACAGTCAGCTGTTTGTCAGAGGAGGTGCTGAGGTTCAGATAAACCCAACCTCCCGGTGTGCGCTGCCACACCACTGGAGTGCTTCTTAAAAATAGCCGGGAGCAGTCAGCCAGAGTGTTAACATCATTTTTCTGTGTGCGTGTGTTCTTTTAATGGAAGGTATGTTATCGTTGTTCCCATTAGCTAAGAGATAGCAGAGGTGTGATGCATCCAAAACACTCCGAAATGGATACACACCAATATGCAGTTCACACACAGCCACACATACAGACACAATTTAAAGAGGAGATGATGATAGGAAGTAAATGTTTGCCTGTACTCTTTCTGCATTTCATCATTGAGTCTCTAAGAGTTTATTGGTTCATTTTACAGTTTTAAAAAGGCCTGCATTCATTATTCGGACCACTAATAACACCTATCTAGTTTTTATACCTTCTCAAATATTGTCTTGATTTTTTTCATTTTATTTATTTTCTCTTCTTCATATGTCTACATATAATTTGACACTTGAGAGATATTCTTCTTTTTCTTAAATATATACATCTCCTTTTTCAAGCTAAGAAGAAATCCTTGTTTCTCTAGAGGCTCGACTAACGTGAGGTCATCACTTTTACTTGGTAAACTGTGATGACCTCACATTAGTCGACTTTCTGTGTGAGAAAGTTTAGGAAAACAACTGCTTGTTTGGTGAGCAATGACAAAGCACCAAAAGTGGAAAAGAGTGTAATTATGCTTGAAGTTGTCTTTTTAGTTAAATTCTTTTAATTCCTTTATGAATAAGGTGACACAAACATGTATCACATCTCACAACTCCACAGCAAGTTTCTTACCACCACCATGTTTTTGGCTACATTAGCATGTATGTCATTTTGTCCCATGAACACAATAGCTAAAAATTTTTTGAATTGATTCTGATAAAAGTTTATTGTGTAGAGTGGGGTCATGTTAATAATCCATTACAACTTGCCTTACATCCACTAAGGTCGTCAAGGCCAGCTTGAT